TATATGTTCTACTACTATGTTACTTGCAATATATATCTAGAGCTTGATTCCGAGTAAAGCCGATGCACTCCAGGAAATTCCAAGGCTGCCTTCAGACCTTCAGACGTTATGAAGCACGCATTGCGTGTGTACATTTTCTCCGTTATCAAATAAGTTTTAAGCTCAACCTGCCCATCGATCAGCTTGTAGACGCCTCGATCACAGGTTACCATAACCCCTGGGGGAAGAGCTGTGCGCTTTAAGTATGCATCGCAGTCCTCAAAGAGCCCGATTTGATCCACATACATACCGCAACAGTCTGGGCTGCTGCTCATCCCTCCATCCGTGTCGGCTGAAAGTAGTATAGTGATAGGCATATGCAATTGGATCAATTTGAAACTACTTTAATGTACGACATTACCATCGCAGCGACGGCAGCGGAAAACTGGGTGGATCGACCAGGATCTGCTATTCTCTGCCTCCTTCAAGTCGGTCACTCCATTCACAATAACCGCAAAGAACAACGCAGAAAGGGACTGGCCGTTGGCGCATTTACCTAAAGTTATGTATGTACGTCTGGATTAGTGACGGAGCTGCTGTTTCGCGGAGTCTGCTTACGTAGAGTCAAAACGTTGTCCAGAATTATTTATGTCTCTGATTAAATATTTATCGAACTTTCCTTTTCAGAATGTCTCGTTGATTCTGCAGCAATCAGTCAGGTCAGGGATTGGCCATCTATAGATTTCAAGTGAGGGACAAAGGATTTTTGGGCGGGCACTCACAGATCCCAGGCGATGTCCTCGCCATGGCTGAGAATCTCTGCAAATACCTGCTGCACTTCTCGGGCCGTGAGATTCGGTGGTTGAGCCATATTGTTGAATATTTTACATTTTAATGCACTTTAGAATCGCCCAGCGATATTTGTATGTATCGATATATCGATATATGAACAGCAATATATTTTCGAACAGTACCTACACCTTTTACGCCCATTCTTTTACGTGTTCAAACCAGATCTGTGCGGACGCGAGCCGCGCAAGAATATTGATCGAGGTAAAATTGCACTTTAAACATAAATTCGATCACAGGATTAGCTTACTTCTTTTATATTTTTCTATCTCTAAGCTTTCGTAATTTGGCGTAAGAAACACAAGGAACCGATGGAACCCAAGCGCGAACGGAAGCGGCTGTACCGCGGCTTGGGCAATCATGAGCTCAATCTGTCCTCCTTGTCCTCGTCGCCGGCGTCGGTAGCTAGGCAGGACAGTGCCATAACCATCACAAGTTCATCACAGTCCAGTGGGACCACCCAAATGGTCGTCTCGCCCGACGATCCCCGCCCGACCCCCAGTGACGTGGCGGCAGATGTACGGAATTGGGTGTATTTACCTAGTTATTATCACTCTGATGATTTTACAAGCTCTGATATGAGCCTTAACGCAGTGAACGGTACTCGGCTGCCTAACATACAGCCAATACCCAGGCGTCGAGAGACGGTAATCCTAAATAAGAAAGCCATGGATATATATCTGGCAGGGACTACAGGCGGGTAATAATAATAATAATATAAGCCCACTAATAATTATGTAATTAGATTTCAACATCTAAATAAAAACATATCTATATTCTAGAACTTTCAAATTCTGCTTATCAGACTAAATCGGAGCACCCAGACACTGTGTGGGAGAGAGAGTGCAATATGTTTACGAGTTCGTGTGTGTGGTTGCTGGGCCCGAAAGAAAAGGAGAAATAGACAGAAGAAACAAGGAAAGGCAACGCGGAATGGAAAAATAACACTGCTCGACAAAATCAAACATTTTTTTTCAGCTTCGAAGCAAACCAACTTGTTTGAAGAATTTTTAAATGGGTATTGTTTCGTAACGGTAGCTCTTTATTTTAGAGGTGGCGCTTCTATTTTTATCATAACTGGATCGAAGCGGAAAAATCTTGTCGAGTAGTGTAATTATTAGTACTCATTAAATGGCTGCGAAAGTCATTGCGCATTGCCCCTTTTGGTAAATATACATACATCCTCATGTATGTACTGAACTTCCAGTTCTTTCTCCCTTTTGTTGTTTTCTTTGCTTATTATTTTATTAGGGATGGGCGGCACTGAAATGGAAGTATCGCTTCACATTTATACAGAAATTAAATCCAATCAAAGCACTGTTTGAATACGCATAATATTCTAATTAAAATTGTTCACTCGCGGGGTAAAAAGCAATAGTATTTTAGCATAATTTAACGGCATAAAAATAGACAATTATATCTGATGCTACCTGTTGATGGCTATCGATATTTTATAAGTATTTTATAAGTTTATGAAAGATACCATTGAAACTGTGAGCCATTTCGAACTATGATTTAACTAATATGTACTAAATAACATGAATGAAACTGTAGATGAAGAGATCTTCATTGCAAACATCTGAGCCTCGACCGTATCAACGACGTTGCGCACCACTCTCCCACACCTACACGATAGCTTGATCCAGTACGCAGCGGCTTGTGCCGGCTTCTTTATATACAGGATGTTTCTGTCTGGAACGAATTGAATATCTCACTCCACATGAAGCGTGTGACAAATTTCTACACTAAGTCCTACCTATTGTGAACACATATCAATTGCCGACAAAGGTCAAAAAGCGCCTGAGGCTGCTGGATCTGCATCCGTGCTTTCGTCGCATCGAGCCAGGGCTATCAGTACGTGCCCAATGCCGAGCTCTCCACGTGCTTCGTGCTGAAGGCGAATCGGGACTTTCGCCTGGCCAGCGCTTTACCAACGGTAAATAGAGGGCCCAAGGCACAACTATTACAACAAATTCTAATTGTATTCACATTCACTCCACTCCTAGTCTAACGACTCTGCGCAAGCCTCCCACTCCCACAGCCACGAGTAATTGCTGCGACGTTAATTCGTCTTTGAGTCACAACCGATGATTAAGTTCTAGAGGGGACTCTGACGGTCGGACAAGAGCCGGTACCAGAAGTTACTGTACCTCAATAGTTAACCTGTCGCCGTGCTAAACCGGCAGATCCATAGCCGCTTGCGGCAGGTAAAGCAATCCTTTGAAGACACCGCCAGAGTGTGAATATACATAACGTGGTCTACGACATGGATATCTTTGTCAATCTAAGAACAAAATGATGCAAGGCAATTAACAGAAACTATCACTAATAGACAGATTAGACATTTAGGATTTTTGTTGTCTTTGCAAGTAGAACGATTGACGAGACCTAAATTATATTAGACATAATATATAATTGTACATTATAAATTATAAATTCGAAAATGTCTCATCAATAAGTGCTTGAGGGTGAATGAGAACTGGAAGCCAAGT